AATAGGTGACAACAATTTATAACTACTTAATGATTATTAGTTTGTTTTTTAATAATTATTATTATAACTATTTATTTGCCAACAGAACTATTGATTTTAAAATGCAATTTACGAGTAGTCTTTCAAAATAAATCAATTCGATTTAGAAATTATATAAAATTATAATAATTGGAATATTTTATAAAAAAGGTAAAACTTGTGTAATTGAGTTTAGACATACACAATGTAAATATCACTTACTAGTCATATTTTTATAATAAAATTCCCTGAATATTAAATAAGTTGTTTTTTTTTATTATTTTATTAGAATAAATTTTATTCTAAATTTGAAAAGATTTTATGAATTAACATATTAGTAACAAATGCCTGTAAATTATTTAATCTCTTCGAGATTATCCGTTTATATGATAGCCTACTGTACTCTACTCTTCTTCTCTACTCTAGCTATACTATATCTTTACTCGACTTTAATCTTGACCACTCTAATCTACTCTACTTTTTTAACTGTATCGGCTAAACGAACTTATTTCAATAGACTCTATTCTGGACGACTATTTGACTATCTCCTAGCAGGCTATATTCCTCTAGTCCCTACTGTAGTCGGCGCTACTCTGCTCTAATCTATTTAATATAGTATAGACTCTACTCTAGCTGACTCCAATCTAATGAAATCCACTCTGGTCGACTTAACTCTTACCGACTTAACTCTAGTCTGTTTTATAGTCGACTGTTATCTGGTCGACTTTAACCTGGTTGATTTTACTTTAGTTGACTCTATTCTAGTCAACTCTATTCTATTGGACTATATTCTATACGAATTTGGTCTAGTCGAGTCTACTCTAATCTACTCTATTCTAGCCGACTCTTTAATAGTCGGCTCTACTCTTGCGGATTCTATACCAGTCGGTTCAACTCTTGCGGACTCTTACCAGTTGACTCTACCCTAGCTTTCGCTATACTAGTCGACTCTACTTTAGGCGTCTATATACTGGACGACACTACTCTAGTCGAATCTATACTAATCAGATCTATATTATTCGACTCTATACTAGTTGATTCTAGTCTAGTCGACTCTATACTAATCGATTCTAGTCTAGTCGATTCTAATCTAGTCGACTATAGTCTAGTCGATTCTAGTCTGGTTGACCGTAGCTAGTCGAATCTACTCTAGTTTACTATATACTGGGCTACTCTACTCTAGTCGAATCTACACTAGTCTGGTTGACTGTAGCTAGTCGAATCTACTCTATTCTACTATATACTGGACTACTCTACTCTAGTCGAATCTATACTAATCAGACCTATACTAATCGAGTCGAGTAGTAGACTCTATACATGTCTATTCTAGTCTAGCCGACTCTATACTACTCGATTCTAGTCTAGTTGACTCTATACTTGTCGATTCCAGTCTAGTCGATTCTAATCTAGTCCACTCTATACTAGTAGATACTAGCCAAGTCGACTCTAGTCTAGTTGACTCTATACTAGTCGACTCTACTCTAGGCGACTCTAGTCTAGTCGATTCTAGTCTAGTTGACTCTATATTAGTCGACTCTAGGCGACTCTACTCTAGTTGAATCTATACTAGTCTGGTCGACTGTAGCTAGTCGACTCTAGTCTGTTCTACTCGACTTATTACTACTCGAATCTAGCTAATCGACTCTACTCTAGTCGAATAAATACTATTCTAGACGAATAGAGTCTGGTCGACTCTATTTTAGGACTATATACTAGACGACACTGCTTCAATCGACTATAATCTAGTCGAATCTATACTAGTCTAGTCTACTCTATACTAGTCCACTCCATTTTAGTCAACTCTATACTGGTCGACTCTAGTCGACCCTATACTAGATTACAATACTATTCGACTCTATGCTAGAAAATGTATACGACATAACTGTTCTGTTGCCGATTCTGTAACAGTCGACTCTAAACTGATTGGCCCTTTTTAAGAGCAGACATCGGCAGATTGTGTTTTTGGTCTTTGATTAATTATGAAGAATTTAAAACTTTCGATTTAAATTTAACAACGATTTTATATAAACAACTTATACAACAAATATTTGCAATAAACTATTCTCACCTACATAAATTTATTAGACTAGAAACATTAGCAACTTAATTAGTAATTAAAGAAAATCATATACAAAACCAACGCAGCAATTAAATGTATTTAGTAAATAAAAAGTTGTTTCAAATCAAAATGCAAATTTGCAAAAACAATAATGCCCTAAAGCTGGACACATGAGTGGAATTTATTAACACTACTTGACAAAACTTTTGTATAACATTTTTAAATTGAAATAATAAAATTAAAAAAAAAAGAAAAAAAGTAAAGAAAGTTTCAAGGAATTTAATAATAATATCTGTAAGAATAAACCGAATCTTTAGAACATATTAACTTATTAATATTTTGTTTTATAAACCCTTTATAAAACAATTTCAATACAAAATTTCATTTATATTTTATTAAATTTGTTTCTGATGCACAATAAAGTATCAATATCATTTAGTTGCCTTAAATAAAGCAAGCCATATTTATTAATTTTTTTATTATCTACAATCAATACATATAATTAATTGTTATTTAATAATAATTAATTTTAACAAAATGTCAACATCAAAAAAAAAAAAAAAAAAAAACATTTTGTCAAATTGAGATGAATCTATAGAATGTCATTATCATTTTATGGTCATTTGTGTAAAATCGTTGGAAAATTGTTAAACAAATGTTTAACTGTTTAATTATTTCCGTTAACGAGACGTGTAAAAATGAGAAAAATAAAAATGTACATCACATTGATTTTTGCCCCCGTCAATGTTTGTTCTGCCTCTATTGTAAAGTGCCTCCAAATTTATTTAATTAATTGTATTGATATATAAAAAGTTTAACAGGTTGCCTCTTGGCTGTATGTATATGAAGTTAATTAGATATGTAGGCAATTATTAGGCTGATCTAGTATTAAATTAAGCAGATAAGGTATTTAATATATAATTAAGTTATTTAAGTTCAGTCAATGTTTAATTGTTTTATAGTTTGTATTATAATTTATTTAGAACTCTCCAATTACTTGACAGTAAATGTATCCCGGAGGGTTTGTTGTCGGTCAACTAATAATGAATCAGGGAAAAGGAGAGGAACGAACGAGCGACCGGAAGGAACCGACTACGAACCGAACGAACGAACAACTAACCGAACTAATCGAACGAACGAACGAACGAACGACGACAACGTACGAACGAACGAACGACCGACACGAAGCTAACGAACGAAACGAACGAACGAAAGAACGAACGAACGAACGAACGAACGAAAAACGAACGAACGAACAACGAACGAACGAACGAACGAACGAACGAACGAACGAACGAACGAACGAACGAACGAACGAACGAACGAACGAACGAACGAACGAACGAACGAACGAACGAACGAAGAACGAACGAACGAACGAACGAACGAAACGAACGAAACGAACGAACGAACGAACGAACGAACGAACGAACGAACGAAACGAACGAACGAACGAACGAACGAACGAACGAACGAACAACGAACGAAACGAACGAACGAACGAAAACGAACGAACGAACGAACGAACGAACAACGAACGAACGAACGAACGAACGAACGAACGAACGAACGAACGAACGAAGAACGAACGAACGAACGAAAGAACGAACGAACGAACAAGAACGAACGAACGAACGAACGAACGAACGAAGAACGAACGAACGAACGAACGAACGAACGAAGAACGAAACGAACGAACGAACGAACGAACGAACGAACGAACGAACGAACGAACGAACGAACGAACGAACGAACGAACGAACGAACGAACGAACGAACGAACGAAGAACGAACGAACGACGAACGAAACGAACGAAAACGAACGAACGAACGAACGAACGAACGAACGAACGAACGAACGAAGAACGAACGAAACGAACGAACGAACGAACGAACGAACGAACGAACGAACGAACGAACGAACGAACGAAGAACGAACGAACGAACGAACGAACGAACGAACGAACGAACGAACGAACGAACGAACGAACGAACGAACGAACGAACGAACGAACGAACGAACGAACAACGAACGAACGAACGAATCGAACGAACGAACGAACGAACGAACGAACGAACGAACGAACGAACTAACGAACGAACGAACGAACGAACGAACGAACGAACGAACGAACGAACGAACGAACGAACGAAACGAACGAACGAACGAACGAACGAACGAAAGAACGAACGAACGAACGAACGAACGAACGAACGAACGAACGAAGAACGAACGAACGAACGAACGAACGAACGAACGAACGACGAACGAACGAACGAACGAACGAACGAACGAACGAACGAACGAACGAACGAACGAACGAACGAACGAACGAACGAACAACACGAACGAAGAACGAACGAACGAACGAACGAACGAACGAAAACGAACGAACGAACGAACGAAACGAACGAAGAACGAACGAACGAACGAACGAACGAACGAACGAACGAACTAACGAACGAACGAAACGAACGAACGAACGAACTAAAATAACTAACTAAACTAACTAAATAACTAACTAACTAACTACTAACTAACTAACTAACAACTAACTAACTAACTAACTAACTAACTAACTAAACTACCTAACTAACTAACTAACTAACTAACTAACTAACTAAACCGATTAATTACTCGTTATATAAGATCACTCACTAATACTTTTAAAATAACTGTAATTTTTATTGAATGAAAAATCAATAATACACTTAAATTATAGTTTTTATTATTCAGTGTTTAAATCTGTGTGAAAAAATTCATTGTCAGGGTTGCAAATTAATTGTTGATATGATTATACAACAATTAACTACATTCAAACAATAAGAAACGAGTATTTTCATGATTATTTAAAATTAAAATAAAATTCTAAAGTTCAAAAATAATTTTAAATATTTTAAATTAATAAATTTCTTTGCAGATTTAAAAAATGGGTCTGAAAAAAGAATACCTTCGTTACGGCCGTTCAGCAAGAGATCGTATATTTGGTTGGCTGGGGGTACCGCCACCAGCTGCAAATGATTTCAATCGTAATGTCGCCGCAAATACAAATTTGACAACGGGTTCAACGGGCAGTGTAGTAGTGGTGCCGCAACAAACTACAGGCCATGCGGGTACAACAACAACATCATCTTCACGCTCCCACAGTCGTTCACATCCGTTTATGCGGAGTAGAGCCACACCATTGTCAATGTTGATATCACAAGGAGCTAAACTTAGTAATAGTAAGTTGATTTTTAACTTTTACTTTAATTTTTTTTTCGAAACAAGGTCATATGGGCTATTTTCGATCTTTAGTTAATTAGTTATTAAAATATTTTTTGCAAAAATATGAATGTGTCAAGCTTAACAAAATTTACACCCAAAGTTTGCAAATGAGGTTATAAAAAGTGTGATTATTTAGCTGAATTACTATTGTTTTAATAACTCTTAATTATATTTCTTTTTAATTAAAAGTTGAGAAAAAGTAACAAAATATAATTCAAAACATTTTGACAATAATTAAACTACATATTAAATTAAATATGAGCAGTTTTAAACAAGTCTCAAAATTTTTAATATTATTTAAGACAAGATATCGCAAAGTTGTTGGAAGTGGACCTTTAAAAGAATTTTATTGTAATGTTATAATTTTGATTTTTATCGTTGTGTCACAAACGGAATGAAAGAACTAATATTCGCCACATCCTTTTGATATACATATCTATTCAGTCCAAATTCTTTAGAGGTCTGCATCCATAGGCGTTTACTTCAGAGCTTCCTTATATTTTAGGAATACGACTTCATCTTTCTAGCTTTAAAAATAGCTTTTTTGTTCTTTACTGGGAGAAAGTCTCGAGTGATCTGATAATAAAAAGTAATACAGGAGCAATGCAAACCGGCGAGAAAAATGCTTCGGCACTCGGTCGGCTAATGATTACTCATAAGCAGATAGTAAGTGCTCATCTTTTAAGCTTGTAGGAGAGAGAAGAAGACAAAATATCATTATTTTATCCTCTATCTCCTACAAACTCAAAGAGTTGAGCGACATAAGTTGTTGTGTATGGACCTGCACTTTTATTTAATCACAACGCTTGCTCCAAATAGAAGTCAATGCAATAACGGGATGTGTAAACTGAATGGAAATAAATATTGTGTCAACAAAGATTAACATATTTCCCAACATTCCGAAGGTAATTGAGGCGATATTGGGTTATAAGGTTGAATCAAATACCATATTGGACTATAATCGATTATTTTTAGCTTTACATCATATGGCTGCCAAGCCATTCGGGAATAACCAGTAACGAAAGAGTGAATATACTCACTGCATAGGGAAAGCCACCCGACGAAATTAATAAAACGCATGAAAACCGCTAGACGTAACGAGAGCCGAATTAAAAACATGCGCATGATATTCACATATGGCAACTGGTATAATGAAAGAGAGGGGGAACCACAAGATGCTCCAAGAGAACCCTAATCAGAAACCTCCTCAGAAAGAGTTAGTTCTTAGGTATTCTGAGTGAAAAGCAGGAAAGTAGCGGCATGCGGAGATGAAGATTAAACGCGGTAAAGCGGGGGAGCGAAGGGAGGAGAGGAGGGAACAGCAAGCACGAAAAAGGGTGGGAAAAAGGGAAGGAACGAGAGCGGGAAACGGAGGCGCGGAACAAGGGCGGTAAAAAGGCGAAACGAGAGAGAGAGCGAGAGAGGGACCGAGCGGGGAAAAGGCGAGGCGACGAGGGAGGGAAGAGGAGGAGGGCAGCACGAGAGGAAGAGAAAGACAGCAAGGAGAACAGAAAAGGGAGGGCGAGCGAGCGAGCGAGCGAGCGAGCGAGCGAGCGAGGCGAGCGAGCGAGCGAGCCGAGCGAGCGAGCGAGCGAGCGAGCGAGCGAGCGAGCGACGCGAGCGAGCGAGCGAGCGAGCGAGCGAGCGAGCGAGCGAGCGAGCGAGGAGCGGAGCGAGCGAGCGAGCGAGCGAGCGAGCGACGAGCTAGCGAGCGAGCGAGCGAGCGAGCGAGCGAGCGAACGAGCGAGCGAGCGAGCGAGGAGGAGCGAGCGAGCGAGCGAGCGAGCGCGCAGCGAGCGAGCGAGGCGAGCGAGCGAGCGAGCGAGGAGCGAGCGAAGCGAGCTGAGCGAGCGAGCGAGAGCGAGCGAGCAGCGAGCGAGCGAGCGAGCGACGCGAGCGAGCGAGCGAGGCGAGCGAGCGAGGCGAGCGAGACGAGCGAGTCGAGCGAGCGAGCGAGCGAGCGAGCGAGCGAGCGAGCGAGGCGAGCGAGCGAGCGAGCGAGCGAGCGGAGCGAGCGAGCGAGCGAGCGAGCGAGCGAGCGAGCGAGCGAGCGAGCGAGCGAGCGAGCGAGCGAGCGAGCGAGCGAGCGAGCGAGCGAGCGAGAGCGAGCGAGCGAGAGAGCGAGCGAGCGAGCGAGCGAGAGAGAGCGAGCGAGCGAGCGAGCGAGCGAGCGAGCGAGCGAGCGAGCGAGCGAGCGAGCGAGAGAGCGAGCGAGCGAGAGCGAGCGAGAAGCGAGCGAGCGAGCGAGGAGCGAGCGAGCGAGCGAGCGAGCGAGAGCGAGCGAGCGAGCGAGCGAGAGCGAGCGAGCGAGCGAGCGAGCGAGCGAGCGAGCGAGAGCGAGCGAGCGAGCGAGGAGCTAGCGAGCGAGCGATCTATCGACGAGCGAGCTAGCGAGCGAGCGAGCGATCTAGCGAGCGAGATCTAGCTATCTATCTATCGATCTATCTATCTATCTATCTATCTATCTATCTATCTATCTATCTATCTATCTATCTATCTATCTATATATCTATCTATCTATCTATCTATCTATCTATCTATCTATCTATCTATCTATCTATCTATCTATCGATCTATCATCATCTATCTATCTATCTATCTATCTATCTATCTATCTATCTATCTATCTATCTATAAGAATGGGCGAATGTAATACCTTTAAAGGGAAGGGAGCTGGAGGTAGTTAACCTAACGAGCGCAAAACCTTTCGATCCAACAAAAGCTAAGTTAAAAATATGGGTGAGAGAATCCCATAAGGCCTCTTGGAATAATGAAACGGTGGGTAGAAACACAAAAATCCTATGGGGTGACCCTGATGAGAGTAAGACGAGTAATCTCCTTATAATGAGCAAGTCTGAGTTTAGTATGGTGGTACGTATTCTGAGTGGACACACAGGATTACGAGCACATCTATATAAAATTGGACGTGCGGATTCAGACGAATGTCTGAACTGTCAAGCATTCATCGAAGTTAGATCCAAGTATCGTGGAAGTGATGTTATCCTGGAAAAGACATTCCTGACTAACACTGATTGAAAATTCTTAGGAATTTCGTCCAGGAAACTGGGTTTCTGAACATTCAGTGAACATTTTTTTTTCATGAAAATGAGCGCATAACAAGCCCCATAGTATTTCGACCACTGTGCGGGGTTTTTAACACACAATTAATTTGGACATATGCTTAAGAGCACATGCGTTAAGGTGAACTGAAATGAAATAGTATAACAAGAGTCAAAAACAAAATTAACAATTCCCACAGAAAAAATATTTGTTTACAATATTTAAAAAATGACCAACTTCTTTTGATAAACCATATTTTATTTATAATGCCACTGTCAAAATATTTAACATAAACTAAAATTAATCTAGAAAATGTATCTATGACAAAAAATACTAAAACAAATAACAGAAGACAAGTGTTGAAAATTCTCATGCTTCAACCAAAAACAAAAAAATTCTGCCGATTAGAAATGACTCTTAAGTATTTGAAAATATTACAATAATACGGCAAGTTAAAGAAATAAATCTTTAAACTTAATCTATATTTTAAACTACTTACAGATACTTACATACGAACTCAAAAAGTTAAAACAACTTTGCAAATACTTGCAAACAATCTAAGACTAAACTAAAACTAAAGAACACACATACAAGTACAGAAAATAGTTAGTATATGTATTAAATAAATAATATAAATAGGTAATATTTTAGCATTAGAATCATTTATTATTAATAGTATTAGACAATTGTGTCTGTATTAAAAATAGTTGAAACAAAAACACAAAAACAATTTATTATTTTAAATAAATAGTTTAGTTGGCTATGAGGAGGCATGTTTCTTACAATGACTTAGTACCAACTGCTACGTAGTTTACAACTTTTAGTTTTTATTTTATTTTATTTTTTTTTTTTTTTTGTATTATTTTGTTGCTGTTGTTGCCTTGTAATAGAATATCAAAAACATATAGTTTTCCTTGATTTTTCATATCATGCAATTACATATACACATACGTTCATTCATTCATACTGCACAACTGAAGAAAAGAAACAAAAATAAACTAAAGAATCATTTGTTAGTTTGGTTAGTTAGACAGAAATACTTACATACATATATACTAGCATTTAGTATTTGGTTAGTGTTTGTGGCTCATACTTTGCTAAAAGTTGCCACTAGACAAGTTTTAAATAAACATGCTGTTGGAGCACTAAGTCGGCAGGTATTTGCTAACTAATATTTATTTATCAGATACTTGCTGATTCTAGTAAGTTGAGGTATTTATGTGGGTTATTTCATTTTATCTAATTAAAGACATCAAAGTTATGTGGTATTTTACATATAGCTTAACTTGCAAGAGTCGCTCCCTATTTAGCGAGACCAAATTAGAGATGGAAAGATAAACCTTTTCCTTTCTATTCCTTCAATTCTGAAGTTGCATCTCGCAATACTACTCCAAGTGCAGATATAGCTTGAATGTCAAGAATTCATTGACAGTAATCAGGGCCCAAAAACTCAATAGAATCTAAATAGAAATTTCGATCGATATCGTATGCCATAATTTGGTCCCAGAATGCCTTTATCGCATGTCATATTATAGTCATCTATCCAGGTAGATCATATCTCTTCTCTATAACTTTTGCAGTTGTAACTTGTCGACATTCTTTTCGAGAAAGTCCTTTAAAAGTTTGGTGTAAGTAATCTTCTCTACAAAACAAGAAAATTTTACAGAATTAAGTTGTGACTCAGCTACACCTTTTAACAAGAGCATCTTAAACTTTCATCTAAAAGTTCACAAATGTATTAGTCATTCATTAAAAATTCCAAAATCCCACCGAACAGAACCTATCACAGGAATTTTAGACCTTCTAATAGCAAGACTAGCTTATCTTTCTACTTTGTACTTTGTAAATGTTAAGAAAAGGATTTATGATTTATATTTTTAACTCTTTTCATCAGATA